AGCTGAAGAGAGAAGGAAACTTTTTTTAAACTCTACTTACAACTAAAAATAAAGCCGTAGAACAGAGCCTTTCTCAACAGTATGTTGTTGTGATGATTCAGAACGTGCAGGTTCTGACCCAAAAACACAACCCAGAGCAAAGAAAATATAAAACTTCAGCTTTACTCTTTGGCACAAAACACACACGTCAGTGTAAAAACGTTTCTTTGTTAAGTGTTCACACCCCTGAACTCTCAGCCGTGGCCTTGGTGTTTAAGATTTTAATGAAAACAAGTGACATAAATTGACGTTACTTATTAACTGTGTTCCCGTCAAGCTCCATCGATTGGTAATCTGTAAAAATCAGCTAATGCAGAACAAGTTTAACTTTGATACTACAGGCGTATATCACATTCCCTTTCAGCTCATGGTTTACCATTTACAATATGTAGTAGAGTAAAAGTATGAACTTTACTACTGTGCTGTAGAATGTGGAAAGCAAACCTCAGGAACACATTTTTTCAGATCGACAGACGAACAAAATGCTGAATTAGAGAGTGCACTGAGTTACAGAGGCTGGACATGTCGTGGCATCAGCTCTATATTGTTTCCTCCATCCTTCACTAAAGATCATAAGGAACTAACAACAACAACAACAGATCCTCCACCTCCAGCAACGACTTCGTCACCACCACCACCAGAGACCTCAACAACTCCTCCACCTCCAGCAACGACTTCGTCACCACCACCACCAGAGACCTCAACAACTCCTCCACCTCCAGCAACGACTTCGTCACCACCACCACCAGAGACCTCAACAACTCCTCCACCTCCAGCAACGACTTCGTCACCACCACCACCAGAGACCTCAACAACTCCTTCACCTCCAACAACGACTTCGTCACCACCACCACCAGAGACCTCAACAACTCCTCCACCTCCAGCAACGACTTCGTCACCACCACCACCAGAGACCTCAACAACTCCTCCACCTCCAGCAACGACTTCGTCACCACCACCACCAGAGACCTCAACAACTCCTCCACCTCCAGCAACGACTTCGTCACCACCACCACCAGAGACCTCAACAACTCCTCCACCTCCAGAAACGACTTCGTCACCACCACCACCAGAGACCTCAACAACTCCTCCACCTCCAGCAACGACTTCGTCACCACCACCACCAGAGACCTCAACAACTCCTCCACCTCTAACAAGACAAACCACATCTGAACCTCTTCCAGCAGCAACAACTGCACCATCCACACCTCTAGTAAACACAGGTATGACGACATTGGTTTTAAAAAGCATGAAAAAAATATACAAGAATGTTAGGATGGCATTTTCACTGGTCTCAAAAGCCTTGAAATGGTTGACATAGCTCTGGTCTACATTTATTACACTTTAGATCACGATAACAGGAAACGAAATAAACATCAAACTTTAACAAAGTTGTTCTGCTTTAAAGTTTAATTCAATCATTTTAGGTCAGTGATTTTATATTTTAGTTTTTTCGGACATTAATTAAGTTTGAAATTAAACAACATGTAGTAAGTTGGAGAGTGGTTTCAGTTGTGAGTTACTGCAAAAATGGACGTAGTTATGGCCCGGCTCAGAGGCCACAACAAATAGAGGACCCCATACTTAAGGGATTACCAGAAACATTAACAAAAGTAATTCAATTTAACAAATATAACAAATCATTTTAAAGCTTAACAAATGTGGCTGGCAAAACATAACGCCAGATTAACTAAATGAACAAAGGCACAACAAAGCAACACGGAGTGGTACTGGGGACCAGGAAAAAGCAAGCAGTCAAGGCCCGCAACAATCAGGAAGGGGCGGGCTTTATGCAATTTGGAGACAGTGACCAGCTGCCTCTGATCTGCCTGATGGCCTCAGCTCCACTCCACCAGGAAGTTCACCCTGCAACAAAACACAAATAGTGCCTTTCTCATTTCCCAAATTTCTGTCTCCTTGACTCCTCGATCTTCGAGCGTGTGACCCGGAAATCGATCTCAGCACGCCATCTCGAAGGACATCTCAATTCTTCAAATGCGCCTCAAGGAGTCAAGGAGGTTGAAATTTGGGAAACGACAAAGGCCCTATAGATCGTAAGACACCAACAACAACAAAAACAATGACTCCATTACCTCCAGCTAGACAAACCACATCTGAACCTCTTCCAGCAGCTCCTTCTCTGTGGCCGTCTGTTCATATGGGGATTGGGATACTCTACTTAATCATCATGACCAGCATCACTGTCACTACCTGGAGAAAAGGTGAAAACAGTTTGACCTGCAGGTGGTTTTGTGCATCTGAAATCTGAAATTTATGTTGCTGTAGCACCACCTTCAGGTGAAACAAGTTTATGTATGTGCAGGTCATAAATATGGCTTCAACTGCACAATGCATTCAAGACTAACAACGAGTAAATGTCACATAGGCCACTCAAAAATTAGGTAATAATGATACAGTTTATTCCATCAAGTATTATATGTATCAGGTGTCATTGAAACTTGAGACATTCTGCAAACAAACAAACAAACAAACAGTTGCAAGTCATGGATGAACATGATAAATAATTACCATAAACATGTTGTTTTAAATGCTGACACTGAAAAGTTAGAAAATATCGTCCATCATCTCCATGTTTATCTTCTCTCTCTTGCAGCTCAACAGAAACTGAAGCGACACACAGCGGCAACAGAAAATGATCTGTGATCCTTATAAAAATAAACACAAACATTTTCATCCTTCTTTCAACACTGTTACTAGTCTATAAGTGACACAGACCGTTTCAGGTACTTTGTCTTGTGGTCCAACACATGGCCACACATCCTCATGTGACAGTCACAGGTCACTATATCTCACGCACAGTGTTGGGGAGTAATTAGTAAGATGTAATTTAGTCAAACTGTAATCTTTCACAGTTACTGGGAAAAATGTGTTATAAAATTATAGTTACTTCTGAAAGGGTTCATAATTACATTTGGGGTCACATCTGAAAGATTTCTGTAAAAAGCCCGGCTATATGTTGAATAACACTCATTTTGTTGCATTGCATATTTTTCATGTGCACAGTGTCTTCCTATACCATTTCCAGCCACAGCCATTTAATAAAGTTTGATGCTGTTCTGATGCTTTTGATCATTTAAACAGATACTATGCGATTCTGCAGAGATTGTTGATAAACAAACTCATGAGCGCGCATTGCCATGGTAACCAGTCTCACTCTGCTGAAATATAGCAGAATCCACAGCGTCTGCTGTCAGAGAGCATTATTAATTATTTAAATAACAGGAACCGTCAGTGTTAATTAACCACAGAAAACCAAACAAATGTGAGAATGTCCGGTTTACACATCCTTTTCTCAGCTCAGAATAAAACCGTGTTTGTCCGTCACTTCAGTGTGTTGAAGGATGAGGATGAAGATCTGCAGCTGCCTGTTAGTCTTTGTTCTGGGCTGCAATCTCAGCACAGGTAAGATTTTTTTTGTCAACTGGTATGAACTAGTTATTTAATGACATAAACACTACCTGTTTCCCAGCAGTCAAGCTGCACTGCTGATACAATAATTTTATAATTTTAACATTAACACAGGTTAATGTCAACAGCTTTACACTTTCAGAAAACCTTTCTTCTGGGGTGAAATTTTTTTATTTTTATATTCCGGACAGAGGGCTGAAACATAGAGAAAAAGATCCATTTACAAGTTAAACCAGCTTAGTGTGGACATACTCTAAAAATATTTATTTAGATTTATGAAGTAGCTTCATAAGTGAACTATAGACTATGCTACACACAGTTTTAGAAATACTAATATTCTTACTATTCAAAAATATTTATTGAAAATGAATTTTTTTTTAACAGAAAGCAAATAAGTCACTTCACATCAGCAGAGCTGCCGTCTCAGACGCTGGAACATACTTCTGTAATAATGAAGCAGCTGTGGAGCTGACGGTGATCCAAGGTAACATCAAACTTTAATAAAGTTTTTCTACTTTCTGTTTTCTCTCTGGGTTTCAAAATAATTTCTTCACTGTAAATGTTGCATGTACTGTATAAAGAAAAGCATGAAAAACAAGCTTAATTGAAAGCTTTTAGGTCAGTGATAAAGCTTTATAGAGCAGCAGAGACCTGGGGAAGTGGCTATGTGGCTAAAAGGAGTGACAGAGGCACATTGTGGGAGTTGTGTGGTGGCTTCATATGTTTCAGTAAGGACGGTCATCTTATGTAAATAATGTTTATTCAACATTTATGGTTTTTAGGTCCTTTAACAGTATTTTTCATGTACTTCAGAGACTGCAGCTAAACTTGGAGCACGCACAGCCAGACTTGTACTTTTTCATGGCAGCTGGGTTTTTCATCGTTGAAGGAAACCTCAGGTTTCAGTTTCTAATAGTGAGTTTTGTATTGGAACAGATTTGTCCTCAGGAACAAGTTTCAGCCCGACAGAGTAATGAAATGAATTACAGATTGCATTGGGTTACAGAGGCAAGACAGGAAGTGATGTCATTACTTCAGCTCTCTATTGTTTCCTAACATCGTTCACTAAAGTTCCTAAGGCACCAACACGACCTTCACTTCCAACAGCAAGACAAACCACATCTGAACCTCTTCCAGCAGCAACAACTGCACCATCCACACCTCTAGTAAACACAGATACGACGACATTAAAGAAAAAAAGTTTCACCAAACAACCCAAAACCATGAGAAGAAGATGACGTAACTCCCTTTACAATAATCAGCGCTGTAGCTTTATATGCATTGATTCATAATTCAGCTAACAAGGTCTTTCTGAAATGTCTGATCATTACAGGAACATCTACAGTTTCCACCACTCAGCCAGCGATGTGCGATCAACCTTCGGAGTGTGAGTGAGATCATATTTAATCTAATAAGTCTCTAAATATAACTTACTGTAGCTTCCACTTAATGAGCAAAGGATTGAGAATCTTTCTGAAGATAGTTTGGTTCAACATTTGATGTCGCTGACTGAAGAGTCCGAACACCTGTTATTACCTGTGGTCGTCTGTTCATATTGCGGTTGGAATACTCTGTTTAATCATCATACTCAGCATCACTGTCACTTCCTGGAGAAAAGGTGAATATAGTTTGACCTGCAGGTGGTTTTGTGTGTCTGAAACTATTCAGCAGTTCTGTATCATAATCTCAAAGAAGATTTTAAAATCTGAAAAATAACAATTTTCATATTGAACAACTAGCAAGCCCTCACAGTGTTTATCATGTTGCTGTAGCGCCACCTACAGGTAAATGTCATCAAATTGACCAGCACAGTCACGTCATCTAAAATTGAAGAATTACTACAGTTTATGTCAGATACGCCAAATAGTAATAAACCATTTTTCCAGGCTCATCTAAGTATTATATGTTTCAGTTTGTGTGTGGTACAAAATCAGGGTAAAAGAGGGGAGATCACAGCTCAGGAATTATAACTCTAATGTAAAGTGCTTCAGAGACGGCCACATGGTGGCACTGTTGCTACTATTAGATCTGCACCAAAAGTAATCACTTGTCCCAACTTTCTACCAGGTGTCATTGAAACTGAAAAGTCTTCTTTGAGACATTCTGCTAACAAACAAACAGAGTTGCAAGTCACTGATAACCACAACACGTTACTAATAATTACCATAAATACAATGTTTTAAATGTTGAAAAGTAACAACAGAAGTTAATAAAATCATCTCCATGTTTATCTTCTCTCTCTTGCAGCTCGACAGACACAGGGGCAACACACAGCAGCAACAGAAAATGATCCTCCATCACAGGAGAGCAGTAACTGAGCCGTGTTCAGCGTTCATCCTCAGACAGTCTGACAGTAAAAAGTCCTCCAGCTTTCAACACTGTGACTAGTAGTCTATAAGTGACACAGACCGTTTCAAGTAGTTTGATTGTGGTCCTGCACATGGCTGCACATGCTGATGTCTCACGCACAGTGTGGAGGAGTAACTTGTTACATGTTATTTAGTTACGTAATTAAATTACAAAATAAATGTAACAGTAATCTCTTACAGTAACTGGGAAAAAATGTGTTGTTAAATTACATTTACCTATGAAAGTGTTCATGATTACATTGTAATCTGTAAAAAGCTCGGCTATATGTTGAATAATCTTCATTTTGTTGCTTTGCATGTTTTTCATGTGCACAGTGTTTTCCTTTGCCAAGTGTATAAGTAAAATGACGACGTATACATACATTCAGTATAACAGTGGGGTACAACAAAGACAGAAGAACTTGGATCAAACAGCTTTGTGGAATTTAGCTAAAGGTCCAAGTTATCGTTCATCAACCATCCAACACACGAGTCAGATCAGAAGTCAGAACCCATCAGAGACTCTCCTCCTTCTGTAAACTGAAATTGAACAACATAAATCAGAAAGAAGAACATAATTTTTTTGTAATTTAAAATCTCGACCATCCAGGAAATAAACCAAACATCCTCAAAGTTTCTTTTTAATGTTCATTTTAAGTGACTGATAGTTTTTACATTTGGGGTTGTGAACTGTCTGTGATGTTTCCTGCTCTGTCCTCTTGTGTTTCCTCGCAGGTGTCTGGTCGACAGAGCTGGAGGACGTCCCGCACAGTTCACAGTTCTCTTTCTGCATAGTCTTGTGTTTTTTGGCTTTGCCTTTTGTTACCTGCTTTCATTCAGCTGGTGTGACAATGAGAGATATTATATTATTGAAGTAACACATTCAGAGGATTCTGTGCTTTCCAGTTATTACATGTGTTTTTGCTTGGTACCTCACTGCTCACAATGCTCTTAACTTAACCCACAGAAATTAATTTCCTCTTCATTCCTTATTTCAATTTTTGAGAACCTATTAAGTACAAATGAACTCAGAGTTTAGTAGTGCTTTGTGTTTATGTATTCACATTGTTCTTAGCGCCACATGAGCTTTGTAACGTCTCCTTTTTTAAATCTGTATTCCGCTGAAATGAGTGCAAAACATCAAAGCAATAAAAGAAAATAATTTAAGGATCATATGAAACCATTATCCTTCCGTGGGGTAAATTAAACATTTTAAGCATGCTGTGTGAAAATAAATGTTAACATAGGGAGAGTTTCTCAGTGGATTATCAGAGTTGAGTTTAATGTGACACGTGAAATGGTGATAAAATTAATTGACTCTCATTTTATAACTTGGACCTGTAACATTTCCGCAAAGCTTCCAACTGAATGCTCGTCTTGTTCGCCTTATTAAGAGTACTGTAGTAAATGATCACTTAATCATCATCATCTCTAAAGCGCAAAAGAAAGCAAAATCAGTTTAACAAATAAAAAAACACTCAGAATTATCCGATATGAAGTTGCTCAGTCTATATTTTGGGTTTTGGGCAAAGGAGGGAAACACACCCGTTATACAATCATAAAATTTATTTCAGAGCAGTGCTCCGTCTATTTTCAGCTGTAAGTCCTGCAAAACACATGGCGTTAAAATAAATGACTGAACATATAGCTTGCTATGCATAGAACGTAGTATCACTGCTTACTTCTAGTAAGTACATCAGTTATTCTGTCTCACTATATGTTGTTCAGTGTAACAGTCTTTTAGTTTGTAGAGCTCTGCATCAACCTCTACTGAAAAGGAAAGTTTAGCCCTGGGACAAGTGATTAGATTTAGTACCGATAGAGAGGAGCAACAATGCCACCATGTGGTTGTCTACAGAGCACTTTACATCGCAGTTATATTTAATTTAAGTCTAATCCAGAGTAATGTATCTACATGTTTGACCATGTGTAGATCCCAAGTTACAGAATATGTTGTTCTTTGACATTTTCCACATTCAGATTCAAATAAAGCTCAGAGCAGTTTCATTCGTTCACTTATGAAACTGCTGTGTGATGTTCAGACCTTAAAGCTTTAACATAATCTAATTATCTATTTAGAGTACGTCCACATTAAGCCAGTTAAACTTGAAAATAACATTTTTCTTGTTAGAAAACAAAGGTTTGCTGAAAGTGTGATGTGTGGACGTACAGGTATATAAAAAAAACAACCTTTAGTCACCTCAAACTAACTCTGTGATCGATCAATTTTACTGTCAGTGTTCAGCAGCCAAATACACAGCAGAGCTGTTGAAATGAACCTTTTTGAGATCAATTTTAAATTCAAGAAAACCATACATGTGTCCAGTCGCCTCCTGTTCCTGCTGACCTGCAGTAACTTCCTGCTTCTGTCTACTATTTTCAAGCACTGGCAGAGACGAAATGCTTCTGCAGGATTCATGCGGCCGTGCAGCAGGAGGTGCAGTGACAACAACACCACTCATCACTCACTCCTGTTCCAGCTCTCATGCATTGGGTAAGGGTGAAATACAGAACTTGTTTTTAAAGCCTTAATCCACAAGACATTCCTGATCTGCTAACTCCATGTTCTGCCAGCAGGTCTCTTAGTTCATCTTCTACAAGTCCTCACAAACAAAGCAATTTTAAATCACATTTTAAGACCCACCTCTTTCCTCTTGCTTTCAGCTTATTCTGATGTGTTCCTTACAATGCCTTCAGAACAGAACATTTCTTTGCACCTCTATAAATTGAGACAGGTGGGGGGAAAGTAGGTCAGAAGCTGCATATTCAATTCAATTCAATTTTATTTATATAGCGCCAAATCACAACAACAGTTATCAGCGCTTTTCATAAAAGAGCAGGTCTAGACCGTACTCTGTGATGATATTTACAGAACCCAACAGTTCCCACCAAGAGCAAGCACTAGGAGACAGAGGCAAGGACTTCCTTTTAAGAGGCAGAAACCTCGAGTAGAACCGTGACTCAGGGTGGGCGGCCATCTGTCTCGACCGGTTGGGGTGAAGGAGAGAGAGAGAGAGAGAGAGAGAGAGAGAGAGAGAGAGGGATGTAAGGAGAGAGAGGGGGGAGGGAGGCAGCCTACACAATATACACACAGAGGTACAGACAGTGAAGGTGATGTTGCTATAGACTAAATGAAAATGGTACAGATATTTATAATAGTGTTAATGGTAACAATCGTAATGTTAATGATTATAATAACAATAATAACAATAGGACTAGTAACAATAGTCGTTGCAGCAGAGGGTGTCGAGCAGGAACACGGGGGCAGCAGGTGACCCGCAGCCACAGATCCAGACTCCACAGCTCCAGAGCCAGAAAACCTGCAGGAAGTGACAGGAGGAGAGAGGAGAGGGACGAGAAAGCACAAGACTACCGGAAAGGGGGAAGTTGTGTTAGTAACATGCAATAATGGGATAAGGTTGCATACAGAGGGAGAGAAAGTAGAGGAGAGAGGAGCTCAGTGCATCACGGGAAATCCCCCGGCAGTCTAGGCCTATAGCAGCATAACTAAGGGATGGTTCAGGACTCACCTGAGCCAGCCCTAACTATAAGCTTTATCAAAGAGGAAAGTCTTATACCTACTCTTAAATGTGGAGATGGTGTCTGCCTCCTGAACCCAAACTGGAACCTGGTTCCACAGGAGAGGAGCTTGATAGCTGAACGCTCTGGCTCCTAGTCTACTTTTGGAGACTCTAGGAACCACAAGTAACCCTGCATTCTGGGAGCGCAGTGCTCTGGTGGGGTAGTAAGGTACTATGAGCTCTTTAAGATAAGATTGTGCCTGACCATTAAGAGCTTTGTAGGTAAGAAGAATGATTTTAAATTCTCTTCTGGATTTTACTGGAAGCCAATGCAAAGAAGCTAAAACAGGAGAAATATGATCTCTTTTCCTGGTTCCTGTCAGAACACGTGCTGCAGCATTCTGGATCAGCTGAAGAGTCTTAATGGACTTTTTCAAGCAGCCTGATAATAAGGAACTGCAGTAATCCAGCCTAGAAGTAACAAATGCATGGACTAGTTTTTCTGCATCATTTTTAGACAGGATGTTCCTGATTTTCGCAATATTACGTAGGTGAAAAAAGGCGGTCCTTGAAATTTGCTTAATGTGAGACTTAAACGACATGTCCTGATCAAAGATAACTCCAAGATTCCTCACAGTGGTGCTGGAGGCCAGGGCGATGCCATCAAGGGAAACTATATCTTTAGATAATGCGTCACGGAGGTGCTTAGGCCCCAGAACAATAACTTCAGTTTTATCTGAGTTTAACATTAGAAAATTGCAGGTCATCCAGGTTTTAACATCCTGAAGGCACATTTGAAGTTTAGCTAACTGATGAGTTTCATCTGGCTTGATCGATAGATATAACTGAGTATCATCTGCATAACAATGAAAGCTTATGGAATGTTTCCTGATAATATTGCCTAAAGGAAGCATATATAAAGTGAAGAGGATTGGTCCGAGGACAGATCCTTGAGGAACTCCATGACTAACTTTGGCATGCATGGAGGACTCATCGTTAACATGTACAAACTGAAATCAATCTGATAAATAGGACTTAAACCAGCTTAGAGCGGTTCCTTTAATGCCAATGAAATGTTCCAGTCTCTGCAATAGGATCTGATGGTCAATGGTATCAAATGCAGCACTAAGATCTAATAAAACCAGTACAGAGACAAGTCCTTTGTCTGATGCAATAAGGAGGTCGTTAGTAATTTTCACCAGTGCTGTCTCTGTGCTATGATGAGCTCTAAATCCTGACTGAAAATCCTCAAACAAACTATTGCTCTGTAGAAATGTCACACAGCTGTTTAGCAACTGCTTTCTCCAGAACCTTAGAGAGAAATGGAAGGTTAGATATAGGTCTATAGTTGGCTAAAACATCCGGATGGGCTTTTTCAGAAGAGGTTTAATTACAGCTACTTTAAAATACTGTGGTACATAGCCTGTTGATAAAGATAGATTGATCAAAAATAGTATAGAAGTGCTGACTAAGGGTAAAACATCTTTAAGCAGCCTAGTCGGGATGGGGTCTAAGAGGCAGGTTGATGGTTTAGATAAAGAAATTATTGAAGTTAGTTGGTAAAGATTGAGGGAAGCAAAACAGTCTAAACATATATCTGGTTCTACAGCTGTTTCTAAGGTTCCTGAGTTAAGAGATAAGTTGGTGCCAGTTGAGGGCAGGTCTTGGTGAATTTTGTTTCTAATAGTTAGAATTTTATCATTAAAGAAGCTCATGAAATCGTAACTACTGAGAGCTATGGGAATACTTGGCTCAATAGAGCTGTGACTCAGCCTGGCTACAGTGCTGAAAAGAAACCTGGGTTGTTCCTACTTTCCTCTATTAATGACGAGTAGTACGCTGCTCTGGCATTACGGAGGGCCTTCCTATAAGTTTTAAGACTATCTTGCCAAATTAAATGAGAATTTTCCACTTTGGTGGAACGCCAATTCCTTTCAAGTTTCCGCGATATTTGCTTTAATTTGCGAGTTTCAGTGTTATACCATGGAGCTAACCGTCTTTGTTTAAGTATTTTCTTTTTTAGAGGGGCTACAGAGTCGAGTGTCATTCGCAGCGAGCCTGCAGCACGATCAACAAGATGATCGATTTGGGAGGGACTGAAATTAGCATAGGAGTCCTCCGTTACTTTGTGACTTGATAATGAATTTAGAGCTGATGGAATTACATCCTTAAATTTAGCTACAGCACTATCAGACAGAAAAGTATAAACTCCCGCTCACTGTCTAACTTGCAAAATATATTTCTATGCAGGCAATGTTTCGTTACTGCCTTTGTCAGGCAAATGGTGTTACATCCTGAGAAGACAAACTTTGTAGGAAGTGACGTGTTTGTCTGCACCAATCACCTACTTACACATGAGATAAGACAACATTACAAAACATTCATTCACATTTCCATTACTATCGAGCTTAAGCTTGAATACAAACACTGTCACTATAGTAAAAATAATATATCGCCCCAGAGAGAAAACAACTGTTGTCACCTAACAACAAGTTGTATGTTTTTCCACACTTCACCATCGTTAGAGCATGACGTTATTATCTGTGTGATTAGCTCTCTAGGCAGCTGAAAACTTTATTTTTTTTTTCCTATTTAAGATGTCTGCTCTCTGCGTTTAGTTTAGTTTTTAACTGTGATGGCCGTTGCTGCTCTTTGGACACAAACTCCTCTCCAATCTGATGATATTTGTTGCTCTGTGTCTGCTGGATGTGGAAGTAGCCGACAGTTTGTTCACATGTTTGGCACAACAGCTTCATGAGGTGATGATGTCTTCGCATTTTAGTCAGTAAGGGAAATGTGATCATGCTGTATATTTAAATAGCAGCAACCGCCAGTGTTCATTAACCACAGGATACCAAACAAAATGGGGTTTACACATGCAGGCAGCTGAGTTTCTTTTCTCACCTCAGAATGAAACAGTGTTTGTTTGTTCAGTCTCTTCAGTCTGTAGGAGGATGAGGATGAAGATCTACAGCTGGCTGTTAGTCTTTATCCTGGGCTGTAATGTCAGCGCAGGTAAGAATTTTCTTTATCAACGAGTATTAACTAACTATTTTATAAACACTACCTGTTAACCAGCAGTGAAGCTGCTGCTCTGCTGATACAATGATTTTATAATATTAACACAGCTTAATGTCAACAGCTTTAAACTTTCAGAAAACAGAGGGCGGAAACCAGACTCTGAAAAGATTTATTTAGATTTATGAAGCAGCTTCATAAATGAACTACAATTTATTTATGTCTTCCAATCCTGGAAGAGGACAGTCAGATGTTTGGTGGAGAACAGCTGCCTTCTTCAATGTGTTTCCACTGCATTGGACATATTGATGTTATTCTGTCTCTAATGGTGAACATAGATCAGAGTTGCTCAAAATAGCAGAAATACTGCATCTCTTAAAACAGGTAAATTTATTGAAATTTTTTTCTTTTACAGAGAAAAAGCATAGAATAATCAGGCAGAAGGACTCCGTCACTCTGCCATGTCCTCACCCTGTGGAGGGTAAAGTGACTTGGAGCAGAGAGAGAAACGGAAACAGAGTTGACATACATACAGTTGATGGAGACAGAGACATAAGACACATTCATGACCCACTGAAACGATACAGTTCATCAGCAGATAAGTCACTTCACATCAGCAGAGCTGCCGTCTCAGACGCTGGAACATACTTCTGTAATAATGAAGCAGCTGTGGAGCTGACGGTGCTCCAAGGTAACATGTTCTGTTTTCACTATGAATAAATAAGTTTCAGTTTATCCTTTTGTTTTTAATTTTGTTAGTTTAGTTAATTACGTGTAGTAAGTTGGGGAGTGGTTTTAGTTTTGAGTCTCAACCAAAATGGACGTGGTGTAGTTCGTTTTTCAATCACGTGAATCATTTTGTGACGTATTAAAGATGTTGTAATATCTATTTCTGTAAGGAGAGCTGAAGAGAGAAGGAAACTTTTTTTAAACTCTACTTAAAACTAAAAATAAAGCCGTAGAACAGAGCCTTTCTCAACAGTATGTTGTTGTGATGATTCAGAACGTGCAGGTTCTGACCCAAAAACACAACCAGAGCAAAGAAAATATAAAACTTCAGCTTTACTCTTTGGCACAAAACACACACGTCAGTGTAAAAACGTTTCTTTGTTAAGTGTTCACACCCCTGAACTCTCAGCCGTGGCCTTGGTGTTAAAGATTTTAATGAAAACAAGTGACATAAATAGACGTTACTTATTAACTGTGTTCCCGTCAAGCTCCATCGATTGGTAATCTGTAAAAATCAGCTAATGCAGAACAGGTTTAACTTTGATACTACAGGCGTATATCACATTCCCTTTCAGCTCATGGTTTACCATTTACAATATGTAGTAGAGTAAAAGTATGAACTTTACTACTGTGCTGTAGAATGTGGAAAGCAAACCTCAGGAACACATTTTTTCAGATCGACAGACGAACAAATTGCTGAATTAGAGAGTGCACTGAGTTACAGAGGCTGGACATGTCGTGGCATCAGCTCTAAATTGTTTCCTCCGTCCTTCACTAAAGGTCGTAAGGAACCAACAACAACAACAACTCCTCCACCTCTAACAAGACAAACCACATCTGAACCTCTTCCAGCAGCAACAACTGCACCATCCACACCTCTAGTAAACACAGGTATGATGACATTAAAGAAAAAAAGTTTCACCAAACAACCCAAAACCATGAGAAGAAGATGACGTAACTGGCGACCTGTCCAGGGTGGACTATCTTAAAACTCAAAAGCACAATACACTGACACATTGATCGTAGAGTAGATTTAAGTTCATTTAAACTAAATAAATGAAACAACACAATTTATATTGTGAGAAAAAATGAACATGTACCAAATGTATTTACACAGATTTCCTGCACTGTTACCTTTTTTAACATACATTTTATATTACACAGTTATGCATAAACAATTATGTAACTTTATTAGAACATAAAAATACATGAGGCAAATAAACAATAGAATAGAAAAGAAACAATAGAATAGAAACAACTTCATGTTTAAATATTCCCACATTATCACACTCTAGAATCAAAACAGCGCGACAAACAGCACATGCTCTGTCTGGAAAAGCGGCATCATGTTAAAGTTAGCTAGTTATAGTCAAGAGATTACCTCCTGGCTATACAACACATAAAATAAACGGTTAACTTAAAAAATACAGCTAGCACATAAAGCTAGCTTAACTTAACTTAACATTGTTTAGTCCGCGGACGCCTTTCCTAGCAGCAAAACCTCCGTTGCTTTGAGGATTATCCACAATCCTTTGTAATTAAGTAAAGTAAGTAAAATGTATTTAATATAGCACCTGTCACAGAGCAAGTCACAAAGTGCTTTACAAAAAAAACTAAAAAAAAAACAATAAAAAAACAATACTAAACAAAAGCAACAATAAAACAGTGGAGCAATCAGTCATAAATAAGCATCAAAAATTATAAAGGCATCAGTCAATATAATCAATGTAATTGTGTTGAAAGACGCATAAATAATAACAGTTAAGGCATTTTGTATTTTAAAGAGACTATTCACAGTTAAAAGTTTACAGGGAGACAAAGGGTTAAATAAAAAAGTCTGAGACCTGAGAGCGTAGGTCTGAGGGAAGAGTATTCCACAGTGTTGGTGCAACCACTAGTTTTTAGACGTGTACGCGGTACAGCTAGTTGGCCTTGGTCTGAAGATCTTAAAGGCCTAGTGGTAAAATACGGGTGCAGCATGTCTGAGATGTACCCGGGTCCCTGATCATGCAGCGCTCTGTATGTTAAAACAAGCACTTTGAATTGAATCCTAAATTTAACAATGACCCAATGTAAAGAGGACAGAATGGCTGGACCTGGTCAACAGCCTTGCAGCAGCACTTTGGACCATTTTTAAACAGTCCAGGGACGACTTGCTAAGAGATGTAAAAAGGGAGTTGCAATAATCTAAGCGGGAGGAAATAAAAGCATGGATTATTATCTCAAACTCTGGTTTTGAAACAACAGATTTGAGCTTGGCAGTGTTTCTTAAATGAAGCAAAAACACATGTTAACATTTCGATCAAAGTGCATTGATGTGTCAAACATTACATCCAGATTTCTATGATTTGATTTTACTACTGATGAAAGTGATCCAGTATGCTGAGTGATCGAGGGAGCTTTGCTATCGGGTGCAACTATAAGGACCTCAGTCTTGTCTGTGTTCACTTCAAAGAACTTTTTATCCATCCAGCTTTTAACGGCGGTGAGGCAGTTGCATAGTGTGGTCAGTTTGTCATACTCATCTGACCCTAAAGAGACATACAGCTGGATGTCATCAGCATAACAGTGATAAGAAATGCCCTTGAAATTACTAATAATGTTGCCTAAAGGGAGCATATACAATATAAATAAAATCAGGCCCGAACCCTGTGGCACACCACAGGATAGAGCAGCAGTTTTGGAGTGATTTCCCAGTGTCATTACTAACATCACTTGACGCAGGTACAACTTTATAACAGAAGGTGGCAAAGATGTCTCATTTAGTGGGATTTAACCTGCATTTATTTAACTTTGTTTCACTAAAAAACAGACACAGAGTACAGAGCCTTCCCCAACAGTCTGTTATTGTAATGATTCAGAACATGCACGAAAAATATGGCTGACAGTGACAAACTAATGTTTCTTTTTTGGAATTTTATGGATATGGATAAAAATAAAGTTAAGACAAAGTACCGGCCTGCCAGACTTGTACATTTCCCCCCTATTTTCACAAAGTCAGTTGTTATAATCACAAAGGTTTCAGTTTCTAATAGTGAGTGTAGTTGTGGAGCTGATTTGTCTGAGAAAGTGGAAAGTAAACATTGGGAACAAGTTTTTTCAGCTCGACAGATGAATGAAACTGCATTGAGTTACCGTGACTGTAACACCACCTTCTTCCCAAGTAAAACAAACCATGTCTGTTTCTCTTCCAGGTGCTCTTTACCTGTGGTCGTCTGTTCATATTGCACTTGGAATACTCTGTTTAATCATCATACTCAGCATCACTGTCACTTCCTGGAGAAAAGGTGAATATAGTTTGACCTGCAGGTGGTTTTGTGTGTCTGAAACTATTCAGCAGTTCTGTATCATAATCTCAAAGAAGATTTTAAAATCTGAAAAATAACAATTTTCATATTGAACAACTAGCAAGCCCTCACAGTGTTTATCATGTTGCTGTAGCGCCACCTACAGGTAAATGTCATCAAATTGACCAGCACAGTCACGTCATCTAAAATTGAAGAATTAGTACAGTTTATGTCAGATACGCCAAATAGTAATAAAACGTTTTTCCAGGCTCATCTAAGTATTATATGTTTCAGTTTGTGTGTGGTACAAAATCAGGGTAAAAGAGGGGAGATCACAGCTCAGGAATTATAACTCTAATGTAAAGTGCTTCAGAGACGGCCACATGGTGGCACTGTTGCTACTATTAGATCTGCACCAAAAGTAATCACTTGTCCCAACTTTCTACCAGGTGTCATTGAAACTGAAAAGTCTTCTTTGAGACATTCTGCTAACAAACAAACAGAGTTGCAAGTCACTGATAACCACAACACGTTACTAATAATTACCATAAATACAATGTTTTAAATGTTGAAAAGTAACAACAGAAGTTAATAAAATCATCTCCATGTTTATCTTCTCTCTCTTGCAGCTCGACAGACACAGGGGCAACACACAGCAGCAACAGAAAATGATCCTCCATCACACGAGAGCAGTAACTGAGCCGTGTTCAGCGTTCATCCTCAGACAGTCTGACAGTAAAAAGCCTCCAGCTTTCAACACTGTGACGACTAGTTTCCCCTTTTCAGGAAAGTTGGATACTTTCCAAAATGCAATAAAAAGAAAGATCTGAGATTTGTAAATTCACATGAACCTTTAGTTTCAACACTTTTACTGACCAGGGTAATTGTATTTTGAAAAAATAAAAACAAATTTCATGCATGCAACATGTTTCCCAGTGTGTTACATCACCTTTCCTTTTAATTACACTTCTAATAATTTGCGAAGTGAAGATAGGCCTACTAATGTGCCGGTTCTGCAAGTGGAATTTTTGCTCATTCTTGCTTGATACAAAACTTCAGCTGCTCAACAGTCTGTATTTGTCCTTGTCTCATTCTCCTCTTCATGAGGTGCCATACATTTTCAATAGGAGGCAGATCTGGGCTGGCAGTAGGCCGGTCGAGCACTCTGTGTCTACGAAGCTGCGCTGTTGCAGCCCGTGCAGAAGGAGGCCTGGCACTGTCCTGCTGACATGGATGTCCCTGCAAGAGATGTCAACTTGATCTGTCTCTAAAATCCCAAAATATGCCTCTGTGTTAATGTACCTTCACAGACATGCAGGGGCACTGGGCACTGATGCACCCCCATCACAGATGCTGCTTCTGCACCTTTCGCTGAGAACTATCTGGATTGTCTTTTCATCTTTGGCTTGGAGAACTTGATGTCTCTTTTCCGCTCCGATCACGATCCTACGCAGGAGGATAAATCAAGCTTACAGAAATGAACGTTCCAGAAAATGAGCCCCATGAGGCTGACGCTATTGTGGTGTTACCTGGTGAGTGAAAGCAGCATTTACCTTATCCTGCCTTAGGCTACATAACCTTGACAGTGGTTTTGGAGATAAGTGTTGTAGTCAAGACCAAGACCAGAGTTTATCGAGACTGAGACAAGACCAAGACTTTTAGGGGCTGAGAGCAGTCGAGGGCGAGACCGAATCAAGACCAAGACCAGTTCCTGCATTGCATGGCACTCAACAAAATGTGGAACAAGCCCATAGGTACTTCTCTAAGTGATCTGAAAGATCTACATTCCCATTAAAACCCCCACATACAAACACTAAGAGCTGAAATCAACATACACATCGTGGGGAGCTGTGACAGTCGTTAACGGGAACACCACATGTTTAATTAGGGTTATTGGCTGCATTTGAAGCAATAAGTTTTACTTCCAATCAAAGTTAGGATGTTAACAAATCAGACAATGCAAAAGCAATTTATTGATATTCCCAAAGTTACGGTATTGACTGGTCTTGAAATAAAATCCTGAGTCCTCAAGACGGAGTACAAAGGCGGTCGAGTCTGAGACAAGACCATCAAAAAGTGGTCTTAAGACCAAGACCGGTCTCAAGTACTACAACACTAGATAAGTGTGCTTGAGATGTGGACCACTTTTTGTGTCCTCACTGTTAATAATATTCTGTAATGACTGATGCTATGTTCATTGTTATTACTGCCACTCAGCTTTCCATTATTGTTAAGAATAGTTGCAACTTACACTCTTAAATGTGCATTGAAAATTGCCAGCTGATGAAACCTGTGCTCCAGTGACCACCTTGCCTTTTACTCAGTGAGATGTCTCCCAAGTCCTTAATCTTTTCACAAAATTACGTACTGTTGATTTTGAAAGACCTAAATTCTCTGCAATCTTGCATTGAGAAATGCTCCCTTTGCACCAAGGGGTCCCCGAGCCATCTTGCAGAGATTGAGCCTTTTGGCGGATTCTACTTTTAGTGGTGCAAACTAGCAGAGTTTCAGGAGCAGGACCGCAATCAACCATGTCATCATCAGCATTTCCATAAATACCCATACGTCCCAACTCCTCTTCTTCCCCCCTGTGTTGAAGGCATGAAAATCTAACTTTGTTAACATTTACAAAATACAATTGTGCTGGTCAGTGAAACGATTGAAAAATCGTATAAAGAAACCAAATAAAGATTCACAAGAATTAACAAATCACAGATTTGTTTTGTTTTTTGCATTTTGGAACATATCCCAACTTTGCTGGAAACGGGGTTTGTAGTTTATGTGTAAGCAGCACTTGGGCTTATGTTCATTGTCTGTTGCCTGTAAAGTTCCTCTCCTCCCTTGTGATGTTAATCCATAAAAACAATTGGTTATGTAATGTATTTTCTTCACATCTTGTAATGTTACAATATTTGTTAGTTCAATGTTAATTTTGAATGAAATATTTTTCTGTTTCTTACAAGTTTGGCACCACCGTCAGATGGAGTGAAGTTGTTTTAAAAACCTCTCTATAAAATTGTTGCATTTTCAAAGTTTTCAAAAGGTTTCAAAGATGTAATTTTAATGTTTCTAAGTATCTCTGTTCATTATGGAGACTAAATGCTAAATTGGTTAATCCATAGAACTTAAACCCATTAAACATTGACTAATCTAACTTTTAAAAGGTGATATGACTCATTTAAAAATGTGTATATTATTAGCAGAACCAACAACGTCAAAATATCTGTAATAATTAAATTCAATGACATTTCTATGTTTCTGATGGTGTTGACAAAAATCTAGTGCTGTTCCTGCAAACATGTAATTAATAAAGAAAACTGGGAGGTTGTTCAAAGACATGGTTACACAGCCAAAGCCTCATTTGGCAAAGATGCATACATAGTTTTCTTTTAAATAATCAAGATTTTATTTTAGAAAATCAAAACCTGTTTTGTTCCTAATCTCAAGAATCACTGAAATGTATTTGCCATGGTTTCTTTCATTAAAAAAGCATAAATACAGTACATCTAATACTTTTCTTTGTACACATATAAGATATGATGCTTCTACCCTCCACATGTACCTGTTTCCTTTTAAGTGTGTTTTCAGAAGCCACAACCAAATGACATAAAGACATGATTTCCCAAAACCTTCTCGGCCCCAACTTGACACATATGGACGCTTGGTAGAGACACCTCAGGCTTCACTTTTGCACATGTAGGGCTCCGTGGTCAAGTTAGCAGTAATAAATAGGCAACGTCTTTATTAAATTAAAGGAGTGACAGGGAGACCTGCATTGGGAGAGTTCAGGCGTCTTGCTGGTGTTTATGGTGTAATTAGCTCAGACAGGTAAGGTGGTGCAAGTTGTAAGTTAAAAGACAATCACATTGCCGTCCCCCTGCTCGAACTCTAGGCCTGTTGCTGGCCCCCAGTCTAGTTGCCCTTTTGCCTTGTCTCTGGTCCCATACTCCAGCCGTCAGCCCGGAGGCTGAGTGTTTGAAAAAATATGCTATTAACATTTGTCATTTCAGCCCACAAAATCATTGGCACACTTTGACTCATTTGAATAAAACCATTATTAAAGTTAAACAATTTAGACATAAAAAACTTGACAGATGAAAATACATGACACCTGTGCTTCCTGGCTTTCTTCCACAGTATTCATGTGGACTTCAAATGCCTTAAAAGGAGACTGTGACATGCAGTCATCTTTCTGTGGTCACATTTTGCAGCCAGTTTAAAGACAAACACCAAGCAGTTCTCAGCTAACAACAAGCTGGATGTTTTCCCACAGGTCGCCATCATTAGATCGTGACGTTATTGTCTGTGTGGTTAGCTCTCTATGTGTAAAGGTGGTTTTCCTGTTTAGCATCTCTGCTCTCTGCCTTTTTCAGCTGTTATGGACACAAACTCCTCTCCAATGGGATGCTAATGTTGCTCTGTGGAAGTAGTCGACTGTTTGTTACCATGTTTGTTATAACAGCTTCATAAGGTGATCATGTCTTTGTCTTTTAGTCAGTTATTTCAGGTTCTTTCTTGTACTGGCACAGAATGGAGGGAAGTTTGATCATGCTCTATATTTAAATAACCTTAACCATCAGTGGGCATTAACCACAAGAAGACAAAGACGATAATGTCCGGTTTACACATCCTTTTCTCAGAATTAAACAGTGTTTGTTTGATCAGTCACTTCAGTCTGTGTGAGGATGAGGATGAAGATCTACAGCTGCCTGTTAGCCTTTGTTCTGTGCTGTAATGTCAGCGCAGGTAAGAACTTTCAAATTATTTAAAATCTTGAATCCCAACCCATAAACACAAGATTTTAACTAGCAATCATGCTCATGCCACTGCTCTGCTGATAAAATGATTTTTCAATATTAATTTTAACGCAGGTTAATGTCAACAGCTCTGCTGTGTATTTGGCTGCTGAACACTGAGAATAAACGATCACAGAGTTAGTTTGAGGAGACTAAAGGTTTTTTAACTTTTACAACCACACACAGATTTAGGAAAACCTTCGATTTGTGACGAGAAAACTGCCATTTCCAAGTTAAACCGGCTTAGTGCGGATGTTCTCTAAATAGATTCAGTTAGGTTTATGTTAAAACCTTCAGGTCTGAACGTCACACACAGCAGCTTCATAAGTGAACACAGAAGGCTAAGCTTCATATGAATCTCAATCTAGAATATGTCTCAAAATATTTTATAACTTTGGACCCTACACTCTCAAAAATGTTCTTTTGCCTTCTAGATAAATAACTCTGGATTTATTTTGTTTGTTCATTTTTGATAAAAGTGTCCTTCTTCAATGTGCATCCACTGCATTAGTCTTACCGTGAACACACTGTAGATCCGAGAGTTGCTCACAGAAATACTGCTTTTCTTAAAATGCATGCATATTTAATGAAAAATGTTTTTCTTTTACAGAGAAAAAGCATAAAATAATCAGGCCGAAGGACTCCGTCATCACTCTGCCATGTCCTCACCCTGTGGAGGGTAAAGTGACGTGGAGCAGAGAGACAAACGGAAACAGAGTTGACATACTTACAGTTGATGGAGACAGAGACATAAGACACATTCATGACCCACTGAAACGATACAGTTCATCAGCAGATAAGTCACTTCACATCAGCAGAGTTGTCGTCTCAGACGCTGGAACATACTTCTGTAATAATGAAGCAGCTGTGGAGCTGACGGTGATCACACCACCAGGTAACATCAAACTTTAATAAAGTTGTTCTATTTTCAGTATGAATGAAAGCATGAATATGTTTCAGTTTATTCTTTTATTTTTTTATTTTTTTCAATGTTAATATGTAGTAAGTTGGGGAGTGGTTTTAGAGTCACAACAAAATGGACGTGGTGTAGTTTGCTTTTCAATCATTGTGAATCTTTTGTGACGTATTAAAGATGTTGTAATATCTATTTCTGTAAGGAGAGCTGAAGAGAGAAGGAAACTTCTGGGAAGTAAAAAGATGAAAGTCCCACTGACATTTTCTAACTATTCTTAAAACTAAAACTTAAGCCGTAGAACAAAGCCTTTCTCAACAGTTTGTTGTTGTAATCATTCAGAATGTGCAGGTTCTGACCCCAGAGCAAAGTCAGAGGTCAGAATTTCCCCCTAAAATTTCCAACATCCAACCTCTACTTTCCAGGTGCACGATGCCAAATCAAACAACAAACATGGCTGTCAGTGTCAAACGGATGTTTCTTTGTTAGTGTTCACACATCTGAACACTCAGCATGGCCATGGTGTTAAAGATTTAAGATTTATTACTAAAAATCTGTTGATGTTGTATATTTTCTATTGTTCTCACAGTTTTTTGCATTTTCAACATTTTCTGAAACAACCTAAAAGCATGAAAAGAAAATGATGTAACTCTCTACAACATTCAATGATTTATATATGTATTGATTCAAAATTAATCTAAAATGTGTTTCTACTATGTCTGATCATTATAGGAACATCTACAGTTTCCACCACTCAGCCAACGATGAGTGATCAACCTCTGACCGCCTGTGAGTGAGATTGTGCTTAAAGGTGTACTACAATAGAAAACTGTATTTACCTCGGCATAGTTGAATAAAAAGAGTTCAGTACATGAAATTGACATTAATCTCCATTGTTTTCTCCTTCGTATGTAAATCTTGTGTATGCAAAAGACCGCGGAACACAGGTGAAGGCCAACAAGTGCTAGAACATTTACATCCCACAAAATTTACATATACCAGCCCACGTTCCAAAAAGAGATAAAATCTTAATATGAAAAGTGTTTTGTAACTACAGCTGTCCAAACAACTGTACTACAATTAAAAGTACAATAGTGGAATAAAAGTATAAAACAGCCTAAAATAGAAATTATGAATTGTACAGTACAGACTGAAGTAAATAGTTTTATCCAGACGTTGCCAAACTCTACTGCTGTATACCTGACATGTATTATGTCTGTATGTACTGTTTCATTTGGTAAGTAGTTTTTACTTTGTCTTCCATCTGCTCCTGAAGACCGGCGACTACTTCATGGTGTGTTGTTTGGAATAGGTATCGTCCTCCTCGTGCTCCTCCTCCTCCTCATCGTCTTGTTCACTAGGAGATACAGACAAGGTAAATAAACCAGACCTGGACTTTATGTGAACTGTGTTTATGTGTTTTTGGTTGAAAAATGTTAAACTGTCTTCGCAGCATGATAAAAAAAATTAGAAAACAAAGGAATATTATAATTTTACCCTGGTAGACTTTGCATTGGGATCACAAAACTTGGGAAAACAAATGTATAATGGAGTTTTATGGGTGAAACACTTTTTGTGCTATAAAGTATTATCTTGCAGTAGTGACAGTAGCTGCTTGGACAAACTGGAAGCAACGCTGAGTGGTGGCACCATATCTAGCTCTTTGAATACAGCCATGTTTTCACAGATAGAAGAATCACAGTCAGCCTGATTTTAAAGCAGTTAATCTCTGATCATTCATTAATCTCTGATGTTCACAATTGTGATTGGCAGGAAATGAAGGAAGACACCATGTCTATGATGATGCACTGATGAATGGATTAGAGTCTCAAACTACTAATAGTAAGACATGATTTTTATTTTTATTTTATCTCTATCTAATCTAAAGTTAAACTCAGAGCAAGCAAGAATTTCCTGAAAGACGAGTTCCTGCCAGTCTTTCGAAAACCCAGAAACACTAAATGCAACTTTAAGGGAATTTCTTCAAGATCTCTTCTGTCCATCTGGTTTTAAAACATCTTCCTTCCTCTGCACAATAAATAAGATTTTTCAACTGTTTCCCAAGTTGCAACTCTATTTTTGATGATAGCACAGTCAACCTGATATCATCAAAAGGTGTATGAATAACGTGCCGATACCTTAAGTCATTTCACGTTTTATTTCAACGCATTTTGTGCTTTCATTGTCATTTCACGCTGTTTAGCCTGTACTAGTGTTGTAGTACTCGAGACGGGTCTTAAGACCTTAGATCTTGGTCTCGTCTCGAAATCGGACATTGAGGACTCAGGATTTTATTTTAAGACCATAACTTTGGGAATATCAATAAATTGCTTTTGCATGGTCTGATTTCTTTGTTAACATGCCAACTTTGATTGGATGTAAAACCAATAACCCTGATTAAAATGTGCTGACAATGGAAAAGGAGTGTTGAATGAAGATGCTTACGTTGATTTCAGCTTTCAGTGTATTTGGGTGTTTTAATGTGACGTTAGTCTTTAAGAGACTAACATTATCATTTGATGAGAAGTCTACCTGTAACCTGCCCTTTCCTCTGCTGCGCATTACATTATTGATCCGCTGGTAGTAACGTTTTCCCGTTTGACCGACGCAGTTTGGAACTGCATTTTGCATGTGAAACCTTGCGTGATCAGGCAGAAATCTCACCACAAACCCACACACGTTAACTTCAGCAGCCCCAATAAAGTGCAGCTCACAGTCCCAAACAGAGCAGGTTGCGCTTCAGTTTTTAGATGTTTATGTTGCAAAACTCTACCAGCTAGGTCACCACTCGTCAAAGCTGTCTTAACTCACAGCTGGAGCAGTTCAGTAGATTACTATCATGGCGTACGCCGGTGTGGCGTCAGCTGACAGAATGAACGTGTGGCTTGACAGCGTGTGAAAAATGTCAATTGCGTTAATCTTGTGAGACAGCTTTTTCCCTGACGAGATATCTCGTCACAATTTAATGTCGCGATATCTCGTGGCATGAGATCTCGTCACACCCCTGTAAGTAAGCGATTGTGAAAAGCTTAACATGCGTTGACATGGCATGCAAACTGTGCTTAACAGTAGCATGCTATTTATACGCCATCCCATGATCACGTTGGCACAGTCATGACCACTTTTACAGAAATTTAGACCCACCTTAAACTTAACTGTCCATGTTATGGAGTGTTTTTGTGTTTAGCGCCACAGTGTAACTTTATTTTGAGATAAAAAAGAAAAATTAACAAATGTGTCATCATGGCTCTGTGCACTAACTATGTTTGTTATTTATAATTTATAGAGACATTTCATCATTGGGATTCAAAAAACACCTCATAATAACTCACAAATAGAAGATGATTAAATATTCAAATATTTTGTACACTTGTGTCGCACCAGTGTCATTTATTGACATAAATTTAGATGCTCGAGTCAAAATAGCCCCTTTTATGCTAAGTTAATCCAAAACCCCCCACAGACGGGAAACAGTACAGGTAAAGCCTGACCGCTCATCAACACACATTTTAACCAAATATTCTAGATGCTTGTTACTGTTTATATTAATTACATATTATATCTTCTGACAGACACAACTCTAGCGAATGAGGAGCCATATTCTTTGATTTGGGAAACAAAGCCTGATGGAAATGAAAAAGGTGACTTTAATCATTATATATCTTTAACACTGGGTGGGAGGAATTTAATGTGTTAAATTAAATAAAGTACGATTTCCTAATTGAGCTTAAAAAGGAGAGCAAATGGCACATCAACAAAAACTAACTTTAAAAGTTTAGATAACTGGAACAAAACTGAATTCTGTTTTCTCATCAACAGGTACATCACAGCTGCTTTGGAATGAAATAATCTGAGAGCACAAAGTTTCCGTTTAGAGAATAAAAAAAGTTGAAATATAGGAATCCATTGTTGCAACTTCTGGGAAGTAAGAAGACGTCACTCTGTCTCTCCTGTTTAACTGAATCTCTCAGAGCTTGTGGGTTTGTAGGAACAGCAGGTTTATCCCACTTCTGCATTAATCCTGCGTTGCTTTTTGGATTACAGTATGTACTTTTCTTAGGACAATACACTGACACACCGACACATTGATCATATAGTGGATTTAAGTTCATTAAAACTAAATAAATGAAACAACATAATTTGTCCCTCTTAAAAAAGAAAGTAACCAAATGTATTTACACAGATTTCCTGTTACCTTGTTTTTTAAATACACTTTTCCATTTATGTTACACAGTTATGCAAAAACAATTATGTAACTTTATTACAATATAAGATACATGAGGCGAATGAACAATAGAAGATAACTCGTCTTCATGTTTAAATATTACCACACTCTTTAGAACAACGCACCTGCATTTCTGACAAAGGACAATAGTGTAGAATCAAAACAGCGCGACAAGCAGCGCATGCTCTGTCAGGAAAGGCGGCATCATGTTAAAGTTAGCAGAATGAACAAAATGAACTTCATAAAAACACAGCAAAAATATTTTGTCTGAGAAAGTGGAGAGGAAACCTCAGGAACAGTTTTTCAGCTCGACAGAAATGAAATTGAGTTACAGTGACTTCAACACCACCTTCTTCCCAAGTAAAACAAACCATGTCTGTTCCTCTTCCAGCTGATCCTTACATGTGGGAAACAGCTGTTCATATTGTGGTTGGAATACTCTGTTTAATCATCATACTCAGCATCACTGTCACTTCCTGGAGAAAAGTTGAATATAGTTTGACCTGCAGGTGGTTTTGTGGGTCTGAAAATACTCTGTATCATAATCAGTAATGTTTAGAAACTCAAAGAAGATTTCAATATTTGGAAAATAAGTCAAGAAATAATTTGATTTTCAACAACTAGCACGCCCTCACAGTGTTTATACTTCGGCTTTGTACAAAGGTGAATTGTGCAAAATGTAACTGAGTCACACTAGTGAGTGCATTTTGGGCATTTCAACTTATCATGTTGCTGTAGCGCCATCTACAGGTCAAATTGATCAAATTGATCAGCGCAGATCACATCTCGTCCATCATCTCCATGTTTGTCTTCTCTCTCTTGCAGCTCGACAGACACAGAGGCAACACAGCAGCAACAGAAAATGATCCTCCATCACAGAAACGAGAGCAGTAACTGAGCCGTGTTCAGCGTTCATCCTCAGACAGCTTTCAACACTGTGACGACTAGTTTCCCTTTTTCAGAAAAGTTGGGATACTTTCCAAAATGCAATAAAAACAAAGATCTGGGATTTGTAAATTCACATGAACCTTTAGTTTCAATAGTTTTACTGACCAGGGTATTGTAATAGTAATTGTAAAAATAAGTTAGTTGGGACAGAGGCATTGTGTTACATCACCTTTCCTTTTAATTCCACCTTTTCATACCATCACAGATACTGCTTTTGCAACTTTTACTGAGAACAATCTGGATGGTCACTGTCTTTTGTTCCATCTGAGATGAACTCAGGCCCAGAAAAGTCGCCAGCGTCTCTGCCTACCACTGATGTGTGGATTCCTCCTTGTATTATTCAGGTTGCATTTCTGGATGTTCACCAATATTGGCACAAAGGAGCGAGCCCCGACCCTGCAGACTACATGACTTTCAATGTCGGCAGATCGCTGGGCTGTTCAGACTACACAACTTGCCGTCTTGTGTCGGGAGTCTCGCCGTCGTTCCCACTCCGTGACTTATCGGTGACAGGAGGTCACACAGTACGCTATTAGACAACAACTCTGTCACCCGAGGGCTGGTCTCATAACCACGTTTTGTCAAGAAAACACACGTGAAACGTGGCAGGCGAAATGACGTGAAACTACACACGAAACATCTGTTGTTTGTTCTTATAAAGACAAAGAATCTGGGTGAAAGAACGGTTTAGCACACGCAGGTAGCAGGGATTGTCTGAGCTACAGAGAGCTGGAGGGGAGTAAAAAGGGTTTTGTTGAGTTTGTTGCAGGCATAAAATTCTAACTTTACAAAATACGATTATGCTGGTCAGTAAAACTACTGAAACTCAAATTTAAATCAAATAAAGGTTCACATGATTTAACAAATTAAAACTTTTTCTGTATTTTCTGTATCCAAAGTTTTCTGGAAATGGGGTTTGTAGTTTACAAGCAGCATATATTTAAAGAGGTTGTGGACTTGACCATAGGGTTATGTTCTCTGTTGCCTGTAAAGTTCCTCTGCTCCCTTGAGATGTTAATCCAAAAGAATATTGGTTATATAAAGTCTTTTCTATCTTGTAATGTTACAGTGTTTGTTAGTTCATTGGTCATTTTGAATGAAATATTTTTCTGTTTCTTACAACTTTGTCACCACCGTCAGTGTTTGTCAACTCTTTCTGTTTTGTTCCACAGTATTTGTCTATAAAATTGTTGCATTTTCAAAGTTAATGTGTAATTTCAATGCTTCCAAGTATCTCTTAGATATTTATACATATAACCTAAACCGTAACCATTACACATTGACTAATCTAACTTTAAAAAGGTTCATTTAAAATTATTTTATAGACATTTCTATGTTTCTGATGGTTTTGACAAAAATCTAGTGCTGATCCTGCAAACATGTAATTTATGAAGAAAACTGGGAGGTTGTTTCTTGACAGAGTTTTGTAGAAAATCAAAACCTGGCCATGTTTTTTAATCATTAAAAAAAGCATATATACAGTACGTCTAAGTTTTCTTTGTACACATATAAGATATGATGCTTCTACCCTCCACATGTTTTCAGAAGCCACAACCAAATGACACAAAGACATGATTTCCCAAAACGTTCTCACTCCCAGCTTTACACATATGGACCCCTCAGGAGTCACTTTTGCACACGTAGGGCTCCGTGGTCAAGTTAGCAATAATAAATAGGCAACGTCCGGTTAGCCTTTCAAAATAAAACTAGTGGTTCACGTTGTGAAACGTGGCA